TTTGTAAGCCGCTCTGAGACACCTTTGGGTAGTGAAGGGCGGGATATAAATCCAATCTCTTCTTCTTCTTCTTCTTCTTCTTCTTCACACTGCAGTAAAGGGGGAACTGGCAACTTTATTCTTTTATGGCGATAGATACTAAGCGCTCACTAAGTGAAGCTCTGTTGACCAGGGCCCACCACGGAAACCTGGATACCGGTCCTGTTGTTGGTTGGGGATGGGGTGGGGGCTGCCCCCGGATGCGAGTCCATTCTCACAACATGGCCTCTTTATGGCAGAAGCCAAACAGGTGTTCTTCTTTCACAGCTCAGAGGGTTGTCAATCTGGGAAGGGTCTACAGGAAGACCCACCAGACAAAGTGAAGACTCCATCAGGTGCCGATGGGGAGTTTCAGCCTGCAGTCAGCATGCCATGCCCTCAGGCCCGCAGCCTGGGATTGGAAGCCCAAGCAGCCACCAGCCTCACCCCCCGCGTTTGCCAGAGCCCTTGGAATGCAGGAGAAGGCGGGCCTGGAGGGAAGCGCAGGAGCAGCGCTGCAGTGCGTGGTGGGCCAGTTTGGTGTCGTGGTTAAGTGCGCGGACTCTAATCTGGGAGAACCGGGTTTGATTCCCCACTCCTCCACTTGCACCTGGCTGGGTGATTTTGGGCAAACCATAGTTCTGTCAGAGCTGTCCTTGAAAAAGAGCAGGTTCTGTCAGAGCTCTCCCAGCCCCCACCTACCTCACCGGGTGCCTGTTGTGGGGAGGGGAAGGTAAAGGCGTTTGTAAGCCGCTCTGAGACACCTTTGGGTAGTGAAGGGCGGGGTATGAATCCAATCTCTTCTTCTACTTTTGAGCTGGAGTGATTGCAGGATCAGGGCCGAGAGCCCTGTAGGCTGCTCAACCACTTGGGGCCTGCACCTTTCCCTGCCTGACTCAGCAGGTTGAGGTGTCGCGCCTGGTCTCGAGTGACTCCTGCTAAAAGCAGCTAGAAAAGGTGGAGCCAGTGTGGAAGTGAGTTGTTCATGATTCTTGTCTGTGCTTTAGACGTCTGTGTGCTTTGACGTTGTGGACTGTGACCTGGCTTGTGCTCTTTGGATCGGACCTTCTGGTTTGATGCTTGGACTTTTGAATAGCTGTGTTTTGAATCAAGAACCAAAAGGTTAAGGAAATTAGACTATAACGGCCCGATATTTCTGTGTCTAAAACTGAAGCAAATAGACATGTATTTATTACAAAGTCAAGACAAACAAATATAGGCCCAAGTAATAGCTTCAGTTCAGAATAAAATCATACATTAATCTCAAAGATAGACCATTACTGACCGTGACCCAAACACGTTTTGGCCAACTGGCCTTCCTTAGTGGTCAAACAGTGTTCAAGGGGTGGCTCCAGACATCGCAGTAATACAGTCATTTCTTAAACTTAGACCAAGGTGAAATGGTTTTGTAGTCAATATCTGACCTAAGGCAGAGATATACATCTGAGGTCTCATTTTAAATAACTTGCAGCAATGGTCAGGTACACGTCCCTTGAAAAATGGTTCCATTGTTTACCTTTCTCTCCTGATCCAAAAAATTTAAGATGCAGTCTGGAGCCAATAGTAATATAATAGTGCATTATTAAATTAGGTAAAAGTAAAGGTTCCCTTGCTCGAAAGCCAGTCGAGTCCGACTCTAGGGTTGCGGTGGACATCTCCATTTCAAAGCTGAAGAGCCAGCGCTGTCCGAAGACGTCTCCGTGGTCATGTGGTTGGCATGACTAAACACCAAGGCGCACGGAATGCTGTTACCTTCCCACCGAAGCGGTACCTATTTACTTGCAGTTTCTTGCTTTCAAACGGCTAGGCTGGCAGGAGCTATTAGTATTTTTAAATTACAATTGTAATAAATACACGTATATTTTTGCATAGTCGATCATATTTATGCTTCAGTTTTAGACGCAGAACTATCGGGCCCTTATATTCTGATTTCCTTAACCGCTTGGTTCTTAATTTAATTCATTTTGGGTTAAGTTCCCCCCTCTCTTTTGTCTTAAACTGTGTTTTGACCCGGACTGTTTTTGGACTATGCCTCTTGCCCCAGGTGTCTGCATGAACCAGGGCAGCACCGACGCCACCAGTCGTACCAGGCGCAGAGACATGCCGGCCTGGCTGCAGCAGAAAATGGAGGGGAAAGCTCTTGGGGGTGCTTTGTAGCTTCAGGAGAAGGAATCTATGTGATACCAACTCCGTTCTGCCCCTTGGGCAGCGGCTTCGGTTCGATCCCTGGCATTTCCTGCCCGAGGCTGGCAGGGCTGGGGGGGCGGTCTCACGCTTCTTCCCTATGCAGGACAGCGTCCAAATTGCACCGTGAATGTCCCACTGGGTTGCACCCCTCACCCGCAAGTCCTCCTGCCTCTTTGGCAGAGCCCAGACGACTTCTGCATCACCTTCTGACAGGTGTTTTCGTGGAGCTGAACATGACTTTGTCTCCAGGTGTTCAAGGCCATAGAGGAGCACTCCAGTCAGTTCATGACCATCCGAGTGTCTTACATGGAGATCCACAACGAGACCATCTTCGACCTCTTGTCCTCGACTCCCCATGCTCCTGGGGCTCCGATGTCTGTCGTGGAAGGCCCCCAGGGGGTGTCTGTGAAAGGGCTGACCGTGCACGCCTGTCCCAGCGAAGAAATGGCTTTGAACTTTTTGTTCGAGGTAGGGAGAATAATTTTTCCGGGTGGTCTTTTCAAGGGGTATTTTCACTGGCCCATTCAGGCTGTCGTTTCCCTTTGAGCAGCTGCACCCAGTTCCCACGCTGCGGCTGATTTAGGGATTCCCTGCGGTGGCTCTACTGCTGCATGACGGCTTGGCCCCACCTCCTGCCAACCTAGCAGTTCAAAAGCAAGAAATTGCAATTAGATACCGCTTTGGTGGGAAGGTAACCGTTCCGTGCGCCTCGGCGTCTAGTCAATGCCGGCCACATGACCACAGATAAGTCTTCGGACAGCACCTGTTCTTCGGCTTGGAAACGGAGATGAGCACTGCATCCCTAGAGTCGGATTCGACTGGCTTTCAAGCAAGGGAAACCCTTTACCTTTTACCTCTCGGTCTGTCTGATGTGTTTTTATCCTGCCCAGGGTGGACCCCCCCCTTCTCTGTTTGATCCCCTTGACACCCCCCTGAAGTAGGCGAGGCCGAGAGAGAACAGTTGAGCCAAGGTCACCCGGCAAGTTCCACGGCAAAGGAGGGATCCAAACCCGAGTCCATCCCTCCAGCCTTGACACCACAGATGTTTACATCACCCGTTCTTCCTCTAAGGAAATACGACAAAGTCTGCCTGGTATCTCTCCTTATATATAATTGAACTAGAAATAAGGCCCGTTGTGGAAATAAATACAACGGGATCTAGAAAGAGGCTCTGGGTGAGTGCTCTGGCTTTGGGCAAACAGTGTCAGTCTGCTTTTAAAGGCATGCCCCCCCAGCGTTCCAAGGTCTTTTGCATATGGAAGCTGATTGGACTTCACTGCATTCCACACCTCAAACTCACCCCCCTCCCCGCAAGGCAGTTGGAATGTCAGTTGCATATGGAACCTTCAAGGTCTTTTGCATATGGAAGCTGATTGGACTTCACTGCATTCCACACCTCAAACTCACCCCCCTCCCCGCAAGGCAGTTGGAATGTCAGTTGCATATGGAACCTTCAAGGTCTTTTGCATATGGAAGCTGATTGGACTTCACTGCATTCCACACCTCAAACTCACCCCCCTCCCCGCAAGGCAGTTGGAATGTCAGTTGCATATGGAACCTTCAAGGTCTTTTGCATATGGAAGCTGATTGGACTTCACTCCATTCCACACCTCATACTCCCCCCCCCCCTCGCAAGGCAGTTGGAATGTCTGGGGTTGTGTAGGTCCCAGGATCATGTTTTAAAAGCTGCCTGGGGGATTATGGACCATTCACACACTTTCAACCTTAACATACCTCATAGGGGGAGAGGAGAATGATGGCAGCTGCTTTCGTTCCCACTGCAGGGAAAGACTGCCCTTTCTCTAGGCAGAGGCTGGGGGGGGGACATAGGGTTGCCAACTCCAGGTTGGAAAATACCAGGATATTTTAGGGATGAAGCCTGCTGAGGGTGGGGTCTGAGGAGGAGGAAGAGGGGGACCTCAGACAGATACAATGCCATACTCCCCACCCTCCAAACAAGCTGTTGCCAGTCTCCAGGTGACAGCTGGAGAGCTCTTAAAGCTCTGGTGCTAATTCAAAGTGCTGCAATTTATCAACAGAGTAGTGTTTTGGCAAATCTTTAGGAATTGTTTGGTGCATTTACGATGAGGCACCCACCCAGAGCCTCTGGCATTTTCTCACTCTGCTGGCATCAAAACCAATTTAAGGCAAAATAAGAGGCTACTGAGAGGGGAGGAGATAAAGTTGCCAGCTTTAGGTATGGAAAATCCTGGAGATTTGAGGAGTGGAGGCCGGAGAGGGGGACCTCAGACAGGTTACAGTGCCATAGACTCCACCCTCCAACCCAGCTATTTGCTCCTGGGGAACTATTGTTGCCAATCTTGGCCCAGCACCCATCAAACCATTCTCTTCAACCCCCTGCTGTGCAGCTGACTTTCCCCTAGGGTTGCCAATCTCCAGGTGGGACCTGGAGATCTCCCACTGCTACAATTGATCTCCAGATGACAGAGATCAGTTTCCCCTGGAGAAAATGGCTGCTTTGGAGGGTAGACCATATGACATTAT